GGTAAGGATTTAATTTACTTGAACCAGGTATAGAACTTGGGTTGCTCTTAAAATCAGCAAAGCTTTCACATTGTGATAAATAAGCCAGCTTGGACTCCGCCTGTTCAAGCTCGTCCACTGTTAGCAAACTCGACTCATACCTTTGCTTATGCACCAATACATTGATAAAACGACACACATATGCAAATATGCGACGTAATTTAAGAAAACTAGAATACCTTGACATGTCGATTATTGGCGATATCGATTTATCAATGCTTACAGTGTGTGCACGCAACTCAGGTAAGCTCGTTGGTACCGCGCCGCTCTGTTCAGGCCATTGGCTTTCATTATCCTGCAGGAATGCAGGTCCCTCCCACCACAGTGACAACGACTTTACTTCTTCCGGGTAAACTCCGCGCGAAGCCAGGTCGGCTGGGTTCTGCGCTGAGAGGACATACATCCACATAGCGTTTGAACATTTGTCATTAATCTCCGCGACTCGGTGCGATACAAACGTGCATAATTTGTTTGTCGGAATGCATAGCCATCCCAATACTATTTTACTGTCTGACCAAAAGTACCTATTCTTAATATTGCATCGTAAAGCTTGTACAGCCTTTTCACATAAGCGTGAAACTAATAAGGCTCCACAAAGCTCCAGACGGGGAATGGTCGTGGCCTTTAAAGGTGCGACCTTCGACTTATCGCATAAAAGTCGTACTGTGTAATTACCTAACTCATCCATTGATCGCAAATAAACACATCCAGCATATGCCTTTAACGAGGCATCCGAAAATGCATGGATTTCGATTGTTACCGCATTCCTACAACTTGCATGACGCGGAATACTTATTTCCTTTAAATAACCTATGCTATTTATAAACCTAGTCCAGATAGCAGTCAGGCGCCTGGGGGAATTTCCTCGTCCCAGTCCAATGTCTGTGACCAGAGTGATTGCAAGAAGATTTTACATAAAATAACACATACACTCAACAGCCCTAAAGGATCAAAAATACTTGACACTACAGATAGGACAGCCCTTTTAGTGTACTTAACCTGGTTATCTATCAACTGCAATTTCGAACATTTGATTAAAATGTTATCCTCATTAGGATTCCATTCAACACCTAAAGTGTTACTTTGATTGGATATTTTCAAATTATCTTGCTGACAATTGCTTTCTTCCGCTACACTGCGGAGAAACTCCTTTGAGTTGCTTTTTAATTTTCTTAAATTAAAATGAGCAGAACTTAAAGTCTCGTCGATCCTTTGGTGTAAATTTATTAATTTTTTTCTCATCATTTAAACCTGTTATTAAGTCGTCTATGTAAAAATCATGTAATATTACTTCTTTCACCAAAGGATCGGTGCTTTCATGACCTAATTGAGCGAGACACCTAGTGCTGAGGTAGCTTGCCGATGACGTACCGAACGTCAGGGTACTTCATTATTACGCAATAAAATCATTTGAAGGTGCCTCTGTGTTGGTTCCACGACTACTTGTCTATACATCTTCTCTAAATCTCCTGTGAATATGAAAGCGTGTTGACGAAATCTTATCAGAATAGAGAAGATGTCGTCTTGCACCGTGGGACCCACCATGAGGATATCATTGAGCGAATAACCAGAATCAGTCTTCGCTGAGGCATCAAATACCACGCGACACTTTGTGGACTCGCTTTGCTCTTTTAAAATTGGATGATGCGGTAAGAAATAGGCTTTTTCTGGTTTGTCACTCTCCGATAAATGACCTAATTCGGCATATTCATTAATAAAATCTACATATTGCGATTTTACGTCAGGCTGCCGCTTAAAACGTTTCTCTAATGAGTCGAATCGTTTTCTCGCTAATCTGTATGAGTCACCCAGCACATCTGGATGCGTACTAAACGGCAACGTAACGCAAAACCTCCCGTCAGCTAAGCGTTTCGTGTTTTGCTTGAAGTGAGCTTCGCACGCCTCCTCTTCTGGGGACAACACTGGTGTAGTTGGCACTTCCTCCAACTCCCAAAACTTGCTTAGCTGATTACGTATTTCCATACTAAATCCACAATGAGTGCTTTTTAACTTTGAACTGCTGCTATCGTTACTACTTAACATTACAGGTCCTACCATTAACCAGCCAAATATAGAATTTTTCAACATGGGCTTATTGTGCCCCAGCCTTAACCTTTCACTGCTAATTACATCCCAAAAAATGTCCGCTCCCAATAGCATATCTATTTGTGAAGGCTTATAATAAGCAGGGTCAGCTAAAACAACATTTTGTGGAACAACAATATTTGAAACGTCCACCTGTTCTAACGGCAACTGACCCGTTATCTGGGGAATAACAAAAGCATCGACCTTTATACACGATTCCTTATCACTGCGCTCGCGCGGCTGGATTGACACGGTGCAACGTCTTAGCGCATCAAACGAAATATTATTAATGCCGGTCACCCGAACCGTGTCACCAGGTTCACTTTGTATGCCTAACTTATTCCTCAGCGCCTCCGTAATAAAACAAGACTGCGAACCACAGTCTAATAGACAGCGGGCTTCGTAAGTTTTGTTTGTGTTTACATTTTTTATTGAAATTATTGCAGTTGATAGTAATACCTGATTTTCAACGCTGGCTGATAACGATATAGGCGTAGACACAGACTCCTTGCTTTCTACACTTTTCTGAGGACTGGATGTCATTGTTTTATGCAGCAGAGTATTGTGTTTACGTCTACATATAGCACATGGACTCGATTTACATTGGTGGGAATAATGCCCACCTCGGAAACAGTTCATACAAATCTTTAATTTTCTTATTAAAGTGTTTCTTTCGTCCACTGACATTTGGTTAAATTTTTCACATTTATATAAGAAATGATCCCCACTACATATGCGGCAAACTCGTGCATTGTTTACGTTTAAGTGGCTCGACGTGTTGGACTCGCTTGCCGTCGCGAGAAATGCCTTTTGAACCTTATCCATTCGTTTATACGCAACTTGTTTGTCAGGCTTGTCGCTAGTGCTAGTGCTTGCACTTATCATTTCCAAAACGTCGGCCCTTTGTCGCAAAAACTCATAAAAGTTTTCTAAAGTGGGATTCTCGGTTAAACTATTCCTATACTCCTCCCATTTCGTACTGGTTGCAGTATCTAATTTGTTCGCGAACATAAATATAATGAGCGTGTCCCAGTTATCAACCTTTTCACCTAAACTACTTAAAGCCCACAAATGTTTCGACACATGGTCAATTAAGAAACGCAATGATTTATCAGACTCCCTTCCAATAAAAGACATATCAAACAATGACTTAAGGTGAGTATGAATCAGCTGACGTTTGTTATCGAATCTACCGCTAACGAGTTTCCAGGCCGCTTCGTAATTTGCCGCCGATATTTCCAATGATTCAATAACAGACGCTGCGCTTCCTAATAAGGATGCTTTTAAATATTGATACTTGCAAATATCACTGAGATTGTCATTATTGTGCACAATTGACAGGTACACATCGCGAAATTCTAACCATTTGTTTGTACTGCCATCAAATGTAGGCAGCTTGATGGTCGGAAGCCTAACGCCGGCGTCAGCCCCATTGTGGGACGAGCGCGCGTCCATCCCACCATCGAATCTCGTGGCCTCCGAGGAGCGAGGCTCATTAGCTGCGATCAACTCCTGAGCACTACTCATCGCGATAAAAAACAATTTTTCCGTATTTTTCCGCTCGCTTAATTCCACTTGCTCCTCGGCGGGTTTGCCTGACTTCGCCTCATTAACCTCAATTTGAGTTTGAATTTTATCATAGTCTTCAAACAATGTGTCCGCTTTCCGTAATCGTAATTTTAACTCATTTAAATTTCCCTGCCTATGCCTTTTAAACTCCTCTAAATAATTCCTAAATGTAGTTAATCGCCCCTTAATAGATGCCCTCTTCGCTTTGAACTCTGTGTCAGTCATTATGCAAACAAACAAGATTAGTAGGTAAAATAGATTGCAATAAATACCTCGATACGTAGGCTTGACTTTTTTTATATGAAACAGCTGTGCGCCGAGACCGGGGATACCGCAGAACAATAGACGCTCGGCGCAGGCGACGTGTATCGGCGCATGCGCAGCGGACGGCACACTGGAATATTCGGCCGGACAACTATTAGTTACCTTATAAAAACTAACTATTTGCCTACTTGTATCGTACTGATGCGATAAGAGAAGCGACAGATAAGAAGGATCGAGCGAAATAATAAAAGAATGCAATTATGCGATCGATGCGCTCAGAAAAAGTAGGTAGCTAGCTAACGGTGATTACGTAAACGGCTGATGCAATCTTCAACTCTTATCTTTAAGCAGTTAGCTTTTGAGATTTAGCACCAGAAAACCTAAAATAGTTCATAAATGAAACCCATAAATGCATTGAATATTTATTTTAACTTTGTAAGATAATTTATGCGAGTGAGAATTAAAGTTAACGGTAAATTGCTTGGTATGAACGATTCAGCTGGGCAGCTGATTTTAATTTGCTTATAGATTTGAACTGATTAGAAAAATATGAGATCTGCTCGCACAAACGAAGCTTTACAGGGCTAGCACAGTTAAACTAGGAAAATAAGGAACGGGCAAACCTCCCTTTTGTTTTAAAATCCTCTTGCGGCACAATAATTAACACTTGTCGTGGTTCAAATAACACTGGCTGGTAGGTATCTTCTTGATAGTCCAGTTCTTGATTCTAACAGCAGTGCAGTGCGTATTCCTTTATTCTCCTCAGTATGCAGGTTCGTACTACGCGTCCACGTAGCAACAGAAGTTCACGGTCGCCATTTTTTTGGGTGTACTCCTCAGGTAAGCTCTCTCCAGAGCAGGATCGCAGGATCGTCAATGGAGAAGACCAGGATAGTACTAATAACTTGATTTAATAACTATACTTACAATGTCGTATATGACAAATAAAGATATAAGAAACGTGTGTTGCCGCTACGGTTGTACGGTGCAGTCTGACGCCCGAACGGGGTGGTGGCATGTGTGTGACGTATGTATGCGTGACGTCACTGTGGGCCCGGTACGTAAAAGGTTTGTTGGTTGCGCCAACAAACACCTTGATGTTGGACCTGGGGAACGAAACCTCCCAGAAGTGGGCGCACTTCTGTCTTGTTTTTCTTCATCTTCGGAGGTTGAATGTCCACAACGGGCTCCGACTCGTCCTCCACACTTGTTTGACTGTGAGTTATCGTTGCCTGTTTTTTCTCCATGTATTGTTTGAAAGAATGAGGAATCACGCCGTTCTCCTCCTCTTCTTCCGAACTAAATACTTTCCGCTTCCGCGACTGTAATTTCTCCTTCGGGAATAGCGTCTTTTTGGCTTTGATCCCAGTATGGACTATATCCATCGTCTTCTGCTTCTGTGGTGTAATCTCGTAATCTCTGGATATGGAGGCATCGACATGTGGATCCACTGTAAGAACAGTCATGGATGACATGGAGGTGGCCTTCATGTTGCGCGATGATAAATATTCCGATTCGTCCATTTCGTCCTGTTCGTGACGACGCTTTTTCAATTCGAGGATCACTGTGCTGAAATGTTCGAATAATTGCTCGTTCAAAGCGTCGTCCCAATCCATCACTCGGAACTTCTCATATGTCATGGATAATCCTTCGCTTGAGATCCACTCCTCGAAATTGTCGAAACCATAATTTGTCAATTGTTTCTTCTGGTCCGTGATTGTCTGACCTACATGGTACAGCTTCATATTCTTTTTCTCCAACGCTTTTTTGTTGCTTAAAATCAGCCATGGTTTCATCACTGGTAGAGTGACATCTCTCTGCCACGAATTTTCTAACCATTTGTAAATAGGCATATTCTTCAGTTCCCGTATCTGTTTCTTCATCTGAGATAACACACATTTTTTTCCTGCGACGGAGCTACTTCCTGGACATCCAGTACATATTGGGTATTCGCCTGTTCCATGGAATCTACCGTCGTTACCTCCAGAACTTCGCTCAAGTCCATAGTTTGAACACACTCTTCGCTTTCTTGTGACACTTTGTTCAATTGGCTGCTGTCCTTTGTTGAATATTAGAAATTCACGGAATGACTCAATGGTGATATGTTAACGTTAGTAATCTTCAAGAGATACTGTGCCGCACACTCCACCGTAAAGGTTTATATAACTTGTTCCGCTTACAACGGATTAATACATCCCCACAGCCACAACAACATTTGATTGCTCACGACTAATTGACACGTCATGCGAACAATCGTGCGCGAAGCGCACATGATTAAGTGCATGCATATGACCGGAAAATTCTTATGAGAATAAGTGTCTTTGATCGCGACTTACAGGAACATGTCGGGTTTATGTACTTGTATTTTTGATCAGGATTCAGAAACACGGCGACAGCGTAGAAAACAGCGAAAGTGTGCAGCACTGCTGACTTCGTATACTTGGTTTGCGGTTAATGAGCAGATGCTGGGTGATATTCTTCTTCTACTCTCTTTTCATTTTTATTTTAGTTGTATGACTTCTAGCATAAATTTTCATGCAGCCAGGCGAGTGTCGTTTTCGGATGTTCAGCGAAGAAGCGAGATATGAGCGGTAAGTATTTATAGAAATCGCAAAATATTCTCGTAATTGCACAATTGAGTCCTCAGGCACCAAGGACCTTTTATAGATCCCACCGCTGCCACCAATGTTAAAGGGGCTTCACGAAATGTCTTTTAAAAAAACTTTTCAGAAATTGTAACTTGATTTAATTATATTCATAAACACTCACGCCTGTCACCCAGAGGGGTAGGCAGAGACTACGGACTTCCATTTGACACGATCCTGACATACCTCTTTTGCCTCCTTTACATCCATATATCTACGCATACATGCTCGTCGGTTAAGGGTACTTTTAATCTGGCCCATTTTCAAAATATCGCCAATTTGGTCGATAAACTTTTTTCTAGGGCGTCCCTTCCCGACTCTGCCGTTCACATCTGCCATATAAAGAAGGATGGCTAAATCGTACCAGACAACGAAATGATAGCGTCCCAATATGAAATACTATGTTAAATACCCTTATTGTTTAAGTTCTTAAAACACACTAGAAATACCTCTCTAAGTCGCCACAAAAAAAAGTTATCCATTTATTTCTATTTTTGTAACTGTTCAAAATTATTTCAAATTATAGTTTCAGAACGCGCCTAATGACGATTCATTTCGTGTGTAAAAGGACTTGGTATTCAAAGACTATAATTATTCACGTTTTTATAAATAGTTGTTAATTTTAATTCAATTCAATTAGTATATCAAATATCAAATCAACTACTATGCTGATTTATTATGTATTGGATTCTTGTCATAAAAATAATTATGTAGGTCATAGTAGCTTAACGTTTTGTTCAATTACATATGTAGAGCTTGTCTAAACTGAAATGACGCGCCCCACTACTTAATTAGTTGATTTCGATGTGTGAGTGTAAATATTAATAACGACGCTTCATCTGTGTTTGAGCGTCGACTGCTCCGCGAACTATGATCTGTATGCCTACGTGACGGTCGACTAGTCGCGTGATAAATCCGACAACGCTCTCCTTAGGGAGCAGCGTTGGGGCATTGTATGAAACAAAACGTCCGCTCTCTGCCACCTTCAGGCAATTATGACAAGTTGGACAAAAAAATCCAAGAAAATCCGCTTCTTAGCAAATACGGTCTACAAAGAAATTGAAGTTAAATTATTTAATTATGATGGTATTTCTTCTATTTGTTAATTAATGGTTCAAAATATATTGTTTTTATTTTGTAATTATGTAGATTAATTAAACCAGATTGATATTCTTTCGAAATATTTATTTTACAAATTAGTATAATTACTATAATAATATGCATGTAAATTATGTAAAGTATCACTATTCACTCATCTCCATAGATTCACTTTCATCTGAATCAGAGTCATTAACAGAAATAATAAATTCAAAGTCCATGTCAAAATATTGCAAATACTGTTTTTCTGTGTCTTCAACATGCCGACATGCATTTGCCCACAGAGTACTATCAATCATTTCGAGTCGTTCATTTATAAGTGACATAATGGATGTAAAATTTTGTGAAACATTTTTATTAGCCACGTAGTTTTTTAATATCCCCCATATATTTTCAATTGGATTTAGTTCCGGGTGATAAGGTGGTAGTCGTAGAATTTCAAACCCTTTTGATTGAATCAGTTCGTCAGTAACGAACCTCTTGAATCTGTCCTTATTTTTTAAAATAAGATCGTACAGTTCAATTTTTTTCATTGATTCGTCAAACTGAATATTTTTTTCTGCAAGCCACGTTTGCATGACTTGCTTATTTGAGTTGGAGTTGGGAGCTTTTTCTAATAAAGCATTGTGGTAAGAAGCGTTATCCACAACGATGACAGCCTTTACCGGGAGATTGGGCAGTAATTGTGTGGTGAGTCATTTCTTATAATTATCCAGATTCATGTTGTCGTGATAATCTCCACTTGTGTAGTTTGCTTTATACACCAAACTAGCATTTGGAACAAATCCTTCACATCCACCAGCGTGAACAATTATGACCCGAGTACCTTTCGACAACTTTTTTTGCACTGCTGATACTCCTTTGACTGGTTTCCAGCACATGTTTTGCAGATGTGTTGTATGAACATAACTTTCATCTGTGTATACGATATAGCGGCCCTCGTCACGATATTTTTTTAATTGCCTCAAATATTGAAAGCGTAACATTTGGATATCATGCTTTTCTACTAAAGCTTTACGGTTGTCATCTATTTTGGACCACTCGTAGCCCGATTCCTTCAAAATGATACGCAGAGTTTCTATACAACCGTTAAAACCAATTCTTTCTGTTAATACTTGTTTCAGCTTTCTTAACGTTGGTAATTCATGAAATTCTGTATGAAATGTCGCTATCGTTCTGCGAAGTATACCCATATCAAAATCATCCAGGTTAGACTTGGTACGCTTCCTTTTGGTTTTGAGGGTGATCTAAAAATTTTTTGTGACGTATCATTTGATGTACTAGCTTGCTTCTCTTCTTTCAAAATTCGTGTAATCGTAGATTCACTAACACCAACGGCTTGAGCAGTTCGCCATCTAGCGTCAGATAGTTTTTCCACTCCATTTTCCGCTTCATATTTCATTCTGCGGTACACTTTCGCAGTAATTTCTTTTACCTGTAAAATGTATGCATGTAAACCACCATAAAAACGATGTATGATTAAATAAGATTTTAAGCAATAACGTATTATTTTACTTACTTGACTCCGTAAATGTTTTTTGGTCGACATGCTGACGGTACTTTTACAATCGAACGACGCGTGCTCCTACGCTTGAGTCTCACCGACAACCGAATGACCAATTACAATGGCATTTGTATATGTATTGCGTCCATATTTTAAATTTGCTTGTGTGCGTTAATGCGATAGTGGGGCGCGTCATTTCAGCTTAGATGATCTATACAACGGAACGTCATTTGTCATCGCTTACTCTGTGATCATCGATTCGCGCCAGTATTATTGTCACTCTAGTATATACGCAGTAATCTATGATTATTGTTAAATTGTTATTTCTTATTTCCTTCTGTTGTTTTAACCTCGGTATTTTTCGACGGACTGATTTTTTCACATCTTGGATAATTGTGAGAAACATCATGCAAACACAACAGAGACAACTAGGTGTGCGATTGCTTTGTGTTAATTGTAACATATGCATTGATAAACTTCGCCACCATCTCGTTTTTGAGCTTGATACAAAAGTAATTTCTAAGATCTGCGAGTCGAATTCTTCAATAATAGTACGTATTTACATACCTACTTATTTTATTACACTAACATAATACATCATCATAATACAACTCTAATTCTTATTTTAGATCACCGAAGAAGATTACGTATGTGATGCCTGTCAGCAATTGGCAGTACAGCATGTCAACTCCGGGTTACCTAATGAACCTAGTGCCTCATCTTCCCGTGGCCACAAGCATGTTTGCATACTTTGTGGAAGTTCTCTGAGGACTCGTAAACGTGATGTTGTTGTGAGAGAGAATCCATCTCAGTTCCAACAAGCAATACATGTTGAGCTTAAAAATAGAATTGCCCCACGGCTAGTAATAATTAACTTTTTATTTTGTACTTTTTTTTAAGCTATTGCATAGCTTCTATCGCGGGCCTTGAGCGTGGGGACCGAATCCAGAAATTTATTCCGCCGTAACGAAAAAACCTCACGCTCCCCACTCCGACGGGCACGGAGGTGTGGCTTGAAGGCCGTGCATTGTCTAACGTCGTTTCTTTTTTCGGCAGTCTTCGACACGGTGTTTGTGTATAAAGTGTTTTGAATATGAATGAACAAAGTGCATTTATTATTAATGAAGAAAGTCACGAAATAATAGTGAAAGAAAATGAGTGAGTACTGAGAAAATATAATACTGCTATAAAGATAACCTAAATTTTTGATATTAAAATGAGCGAAAGAAAAATAATACCTACTTGCACTTATTTTAACTGAAATATAAGGTGCTTCTAAACTACAATATGCCATGGCTGCAACTGGTGGTTCTACTCATGATACTGTACCACTTTCCCCAAGGAACCCATAGTCAATTCTCAAAAAAAATTGCACTTTGTATGGAAATCGGTCAGCTGATTGGCCAAGTCTCCATACAAACAACCGTGGCATATATTTTAGAAGCACCTTATATAATAACATTAGATACTGTAAAATAAAAGATATTATTTTTACTCATTCATGGTCAATTATTTATTTATTTATTTCGGAACATTGTAAATGTAAACCTTATATTAAATCAGTTCCTATCTTATCATTAATCTTAATCTTAGTTCTTAACCTTAATCTTAGTTAATTAGTTATTAATCTTAGAAATCCCTGCCTAATTAATAATTAGCCATATTACAAAAATGAAATAAACTTTGTATTCTCCTAGTAAACATCTGGATAGGAGTCCGTAAATTAAATAAAAAAAATAATGTTTTTGATTCAACATTCATTAACCTCAAGTATTTTTTATTACAATTAAAGGGTATTTGTTTTCAACAATCATATTAAACCAACTTTTCTTGTCTATCTAGTCATATTTAAAATTTACCAGAGTCAGGTTATGGTGCAAAAACACCAAAGATCTGCCTTATCTGGCAGAAGTTTGTTACGTTTTTTTTCGTAGGTATATGTTTCCTGCGGTGTGCGGGCGGGGTATTTGAAGTAAATGCGTAAACAAGTCACGACGCGTCGCTCTCGAGAAAGCGTGCGAAAATGAACCGAAGTTCGGCCGAAGTTCGGATTCGGTTCAAATCACATTCGGCCCATCTCTAATATATATATATATATATATATATATATATATATATATATATATATATATATATCACAATATTGATTCTACGTCCTTTCATTTCGCATTATTGTAGCGTCCACCACTTGTAAGCAATTTTAATACATTATGACTGCGAATATTGGTCCATTAAACAATTTCAAAGATAGTGTTTAACTCATTTCTTTGAAAATTTACCATATATCGATATACAAATATTCGTATATTGCCAGACGGAGGGAAACCAATCAGGACTCCCTTCCATATTACAAATTATCCAGAATCCCCGTAATATACATAGTTTTTAATTCATTCTCCTGCTTAAGGTGACACTAGTCGACATTATTTCCATAGAAATTTCGGAGGGGTTTTACTCCGCTGTTTGACAGTGTACATCAACAGTACATACAAGTGACAGTTAAACATGATATCGTTTTGTCTCATTATTAATTTTGTCTGTACGGAAACAGAATAGTAAAATAAAAAGTCATTAAAAAGTTACGAGCTATCAAAGATTCGTTTTTATTGCCAATTTTAACACAAATTTGGGCGTAATTTAGTAATAAAAGCAGTGTAAAATTTCCAAGACAAAGTCGGTAACGACACAGCTCAATTCTCGAAGAATTTAATAAATTTTATTTGTAATTGATTTATGCAGTGGTTTTTTCATAAAACCCCTTCTTTCAAAGGCCTTTTCGTATTTTTTTTACGCGCGCGTGTTTATATGTATTATCGTGCATCTCACTGAATAATGTTTCCCCCGGTGCGGTGCGGGAGGACGACACTTACACACACATGCATGCGCGGTGACGCGCGCTTATTCTAGTTTTATTCGGCTCAGTCAGCTGCGGCCTGTGACGTTCGTATGACTATAGATATACATGCGCTCTAAATTACTACGCTACATTGACCCCTGCTTGAACTTTGGATTTCGATACTACTCTGTTTGGCATAGAAATTGATATTATTGAAAGAGATGATGCGTTTTGGACGGCAGAAAAAAATTTTAAAATTAGATAGCTTTTATCAGAAATGTGTTTTGCCGGAGCTGATAGATCCTCGTCACCCTCGCAAACTACAATTTAGAGATCGAATGTAAATCAAATTTATGTAAGCACAGACAAAAATAGCGGAATATAAATAAAATTTTGAAAAAAAAAAACAATCTCAAAATTTTATTAATGTTCCGCTAATTTTATCTGTACTTACCTATGTCAATTTGATTTACATTCGATTATAATTATATTCTCAGACGTGCAGGTTTCCTCAATATGTTTTCCTTCACCGCCGAGCACGTGGTAAATCAGCACAATTGCAATTAACAATTTCATTGGTGCCGGCGGGGATCGAACTCGGGTCTGCATGTCTGAGAAATTAAAAAATATATATTTCGAAGACATGTGAAATTCGTCAACACGCATTGAGGCAGCGTGGCGGACATTTCCTTGCCTTAAAATCCTCTCAGAAATTAGAGGAGGCCTGTGCCCAGCAGTGGGACGTATATAGGCTGTAACTTTACTTTTTTTTTACTTTTATAAATGTATTATTTTACCGACGAAAATTTTAAAGAAAAATAAAAAATAAGCAACCGACAACCTCCTAGGTCCCTAGGTGAATTGCGAGATGTCAGTGTAACAAAACAAAACGGCCCAGAAAAACAGACTTTCCAACTGATAGCTAAATCAGCACGCAACAATTTCATTGGTGCCAGTGGGGATCGAACCCGGGTTGCTCCCGTACTGTGATACTTATAACGAGCGCTAACCATGTGAGCAACCACGGCTCTCAACGACATCGTTCTGTTCGTGTACAGCGCTGAAGATAGCAGAGTAAAAAATTAGAGATTGTGATGTTTGAAATTTGTCATCTATGAGAGTGAATTTTATCTGTGTACTCTGTAACAAATAACTATATAGAAAAAAAATGTGAAAATGACTATTCGCCATTTTTGTTTGTGTACTGGTTAGGAACTCGATCAAAAATTTGATAATTTTTCTGTTTTTATACGTTATTTCTAAAAAAAATGTGAAAATGACTATTCGCCATTTTTGTTTGTGTACTGGTTAGGAACTCGATCAAAAATTTGATAATTTCTCCGTTTTTATACGTTATTTCTAATGTTATTTTACATCAAATTAATTGTAAAGATATTTTCTTTTGGAAATATGTATCATTACGACGATTCAAAAACGTTTACATATAATAATTTACCTCGAAATTCACTATACGCGATTATCGTTTATTGATTATATGTTGTTTAAAAAGTATTCTTATCAGTTTTTTGTGTTAAATGGATGCTAAATATAAAAGAATGCTTCAGTATTGATAGCAATTTATTAACGAAATATCTGTTGAGATGTGTCTAGAAATTATTAATACTTATTTTTATTTATTAATTAAAATAATAAATAAATAAAAATAAGTATACATTTATCTATATTGAGTACTAGTTGTTCCCCGCGATCTCGCCCGCGTGGAATATGGATTTCATAGGTTTTAATTTTTTTGCGCGGATCCCTAATTATTTTTCTAAAACAAAAATAGTTCAAGTTATTCCTTATATCATCAGCTATCTGCCAGTGAAAGTCCCGTCAAAATAGATCCAGCTGTTTCGGAGATTAGCTGGAACAAACAGACAGACAGACAGACCAACAGACAGATAAAAATTTTAAAAATTGTGTTTTTGTTACTATTACTTTCATATGCATTTAATAAAAATCTGTTGTTTTAACATTACAAACAGACACTTCAATTTTATTTATTTGTAGATATAGATATAAGATATTATTCATATTGGTGTCATTTTAAAGGGAATATCATGTAATATTATAATAATAAAATAATTGTCTCCAGTAAATATTATACTTTTCTTGTAAAACTCGAAATAAAAAATAAATACGATTTATTTTTATATCCCCATATGCTTTATTTTCATCCTTTATTTTTTATTTGACCAATTTTCTT